TGCTGCTTCCTGATGTTATTTTGTTTTTATTTTGCAGTCATTTCCTTTACCTTTCCCTTTGCTAAAGTTTTTTCCTTTTAATTAATTAATTACTTTCTTAGTTTCTTTCATTTGATATTCTCAGAAATGCCCAGTTTCCCAAAATATATGATGCCTTCTTAGAACCCAATGAAAAAACATCACTCAAACAATTTTTCAAGGGGGTAGTCCATGAGCAACCCTGATACACAATAGTGTGGTTTGTTTGGAGGGTACACTATTGTGTCCTGCTGCTTCCTGAGGTGATTTTGATTTTTTCAATCATTTCCTTTACCTTTTCCTTTGCTAAAGTGTTTTCTTTTAATTACTTAATTACTCTCTTAGTTTCTTTCATTTGAAATTCTCAGAAATGCCCAGTTTCCCAAAATATATGATGCCTTATGAAAACCCAATTAAAAATCATCACTCAAACAATTTTTCAAGGGGGTAGTCCATGAGCAACCCTGATACACAATAGTGTGGTTTGTTTGGAGGGTACACTATTGTGTCCTGCTGCTTCCTGAGGTCATGATTTTTTGATTTTTTCAATCATTTCCTTTACCTTTTCCTTTGCTAAAGTTTTTTCTTTTAATTACTTAATTACTTTCTTAGTTTCTTTCATTTGAAGTTCTCAGAAATGCCCAGTTTCCCAAAATATATGACACCTTATTAAAACCCAATTAAAAAACATCACTCAAACAATTTTTCAAGGGGGTAGTCCATGAGCAACCCTGATACACAATAGTGTGGTTTGTTTGGAGGGTACACTATTGTGTCCTGCTGCTTCTTGAGGTCATGATTTTTTGATTTTTTCAATCATTTCCTTTACCTTTTCCTTTGCTATTTTTTCTTTCTTTTAATTACTTAATTATTTTCTTAGTTTCTTTCATTTGAAATTCTCAGAAATGCCCAGTTTCGCAAAATATTTGATGCCTTATTAAAACCCAATTAAAAAACATCACTCAAACAATTTTTCAAGGGGGTAGTCCATGAGCAACCCTGATACACAATAGTGTGGTTTGTTTGGAGGGTACACTATTGTGTCCTGCTGCTTCAAGAGGTCATGATTTTTTGAATTTTTCAATCATTTCCTTTACCCTTTTCCTTTGCTAAAGTTTTTTTCTTTTAATTACTTAATTACTTTCTTAGTTTCTTTCATTTGAAATTCTCAGAAATGCCCAGTTTCCCAAAATATATGATGCCTTGTTAAAACCCAATTAAAAATCATCACTCAAACAATTTTTCAAGGGGGTAGTTCATGAGCAACCCTGATACACAATAGTGTGGTTTGTTTGGAGGGTACACTATTGTGTCCAGATGCTTCCTGGTGTGATTTTTTTTCAAGCATTCCCTTTACCTGTTCCTTTGCTAAAGCTTTTTTCTTTTATGGTATTTCTATGGTATTACTATTGGTTTTCTATGGGATTCCTATGGTGTTTCCATGATGTTTATTTCTGGAGGATTTCTATGGGATTTCTGAAGGGGTGCTATGGGAGTTCTATGGTATTCTTATGGGATTTCCATTGGATTCCTATGGGATTTCTATGGTATTTCTATTGGATTCCTATGGAATTTCTATTGGATTCCTGTGGGATTTCCAAGGTATTTCCATGATGTTTCTATGATAGTTCTATGGGATTATTATTGGAATTCTCATGGGATTTCTGTGTGGTTCCTATGCTATTCCATGTTATTTCTATGATATTTCTATGGGATTTCTGGTGGATTCCTATGGGATTTCCATGGTATTTCTATGATATTTCTTTGGGACTACTATTGGATTTCTATGGGATGTCGATTGAAAGTAATTTGAAATCAATTGAAAGTAATTTGAAATCAATTGAAAGTAAATTGCAATCAATTGAAAGTAAATTGAAATCAATTCAAAGTAAATTGAAATCAATTCAAAATAAATTGAAATCAATTGAAAGTAAATTGAAATCAATTGAAATCAAATTGAAATCAATACAAAGTAAATCGAAATTGATTCAAAGTAAATTGAAATCAATTGAAAGTATATTGAAATCAATTGAAATCAAATTGAAATCAATTTAAAGTAATTTGAAATAAATTGAAAATAAATTGAAATCAGTTCAAAGTAAATTGAAGTCAATTCAAAGTAAATTGAAATCAATTGAAAGTAAATTGAAATCAGTTGAAAGTAATTTGAAATCAATTGAAAGTAATTTGAAATCAATTGAAAGTAAATTGAAATCAATTGAAAGTAACTTCAAATCAATTGAAAATAATTTGAAATCAATTGAAAGTAAATTGAAATCAATTGAAAGTAACTTCAAATCAATTGAAAATAAATTGAAATCAATTGAAAGTACATTGAAATCAATTGAAAGTAAACTGAAATCAATTCAAAATAAATTGAAATCAATTGAAAGTACATTGAAATCAATTGAAAGTAAACTGAAATCAATTCAAAATAAATTGAAATCAATTGAAAGTAAATTGAAATCAATTGAAAGTAAAT